CTCATCGATAGCCTAACCCTAACATCGGACTTAAAGTCAACGTAAATCTTAGTCTTTAATTAAACGCCGCCCTACCCTTAACCCTAGCCCTAACTTGCCTATTCTTTATAGGGGTCGTATTACTCACCCTTACCGCCATGTGTCAGGGCCCGACTCAATCGCGTGCACACACAGCCCTGACGATTCGTTCGCACGCCAGGCGACCGGTCCGCCCACACAAAGTGCACGTGATGACGCGCAGAGCTGCGGCCGGGCGCAGGACTCTAACACGCCAACTGCATGAGTCACAAGCCAATGCACTCGCGACTAACTTAAGACCACAATCTCATTGGTCGAAATCTTGTACGCTACGCTAGCCTTAAGTACGCTGTTGTAGGTTTGATGAATTACTTCTAATTTTGCGCTCTTCTTGTTGTGTTCTTCCTTGGGTGCTCACACAGGGCGTAATTAGACGGCGATATCGCGCTTTGGCCACAGTTACTACATCTTGTTATTAAGGGGAAGTACGATACATTATGGCGGAAATCTAACTTATTATTTTAAAAAAACTCAGGCGTTGTCCATCTAACTTATGCGAGTTTCAATACACACAGTATAAATACATCAACAGAAGACGTCTATACCTTTGGGCGAAAAAGGGGCTCATTTGCGCGCACCTTTTCGATAATTTCGTCGGCTTCCATATCTGGATAGCCATACGGTACAGTTCGAAAGAACATTTCGTGTTGGATGATTGCTGCGGAGTAGATGTCTCCATTTTGAGTTCCGACGGAGGTCCCCGATTCCTCACGCAGTTGTTCTGGGGCCATCCACAGCAAATCTTGACGGCCGTAGACAAAAAAGCATAGCTTCCAAATCACAAGCATTAAAACTTCCATGTATCCACCAAAAGATTTTAAATGAACGGCAGAATAAACAGGAACTGGCGGAGGCTTATACCATTTAACACAAATAGCCGAGGTACCCTGCCGTACACTTTCGATTTAAGGAAAATCGGTAAGATAGGGTATGTACATAGTCAGCAAGATTGGCTATTACATATATTCGAGTAACGTTCTTTCCCGGGTGTTGGGTGGGATTAAATTCAAGATTATGTTTTCAAATAAGGGTTGGATTAGGACTAAGTTCAGAGTTTGGATTAGGGGCCTGCGACACCTATTCCCACAGTTCACGTAACATTTGCAATGTTGTCAAGGCATGTTATATACTTTATACACCGCATTGATAAACGGAAAAATATGAATGGGCATTTTACAACACTAAAGTCTCATAACTATAAAACATTTCGAAATTGAAAGACCATCTTTTGCGAGTAGATGTAAAGAAGACGTAAATAGTCAGCAAATGAGTACAGGGAAAATATTTTTTGTTCATTTTTTGTATAAAACACGCTTCAATTTAGAAGGGCATCGAAAATAAGTCTGAAAAATTCCTGTATCTTAATAAACAATTTTCTAGCGAGTGTATTTTTTGAAGATAGCCAGAAAAGGTTCTTCCATAGACCATCATTTTGACATGGCCGAAAAGTTGCTGCATGATGTTGCAACCACACTTAGGCAATTGTTTCTATTCGAAAACAAATTTCAAATCTGTTCCGTTGCTGTGTCTTTTGTGCTAATAATTATTCTCCCTAATTTCAACCAAGGAATTAGAAATTAAAAACATGCGCAAACGGAACCGATCTTGTTTTTTCAACGCAAACAAACGTTTTCTGACAGATTACTTCAATCAAAGTAAAAAAGTACAATCATGGTGAACACCAACATGAGTTTTAAATTAGTTTCCTAGTATTCGGATATAAGAAGAAACTGAAAAGTTTCGTGGTTTCTTTAATTAAAATTACATAGCGCCTTCTTCTATCGGCCTTATAATATATTTTCAGTTGGAAAACAGCAAGCATCTTTACCAATATACCGAAGATTAAAAGTAAAAATTATTTATTTATATTCATTGTATACAGAAACAACCTATCAAACACTTCGATGATTCATCAAAAAGCTCAATAGTCAATTTGCAAACTTAAGCACTTTACTCTTAGTAGGTATTAAGAATATTGTATAGGATGAAAGAGTTACCGTATTTTGCCTACCTCTTTAACATAGACAGAAACCATCTCTCTCGTGAAAATATGTGCACGGGCTATGGAGGTTAAGTGCTTGGTAAACGCTATTCTAGAATTTATTTGAAATATCTAACAAAAAACGTACTAAAGTAAACATAAACAGATGAGGATGGATAATTTCTTCTGAAACTGAGGATAGACATTATTTTCATTCGTAAAATTTCAAGATCAAATTGCTGTAGTACTCAAAATTTGGCAGACAATGAATATTTAGATAAATAGTAGTATCGTAAAATGTTATGGAAGGCATTCAGTGAAGGCGGCACCTTTCCTAATTTTATGGTAAAAGACTGCAGTTGTACTGCATCCCCTTCTACGAACTTTTGTTGAAATGACAGGTTGTAGGTTTTTGTCTTTCACCCACACAATCTGGCAATCACTAAAATGTATTGCTAACTGTCATGCTGTATGATGATTAGGCAGGCATAGATCGGAAAAGACTTGAAAATAACCAAACTGGGATGCAGAAAAATGTCCAAGTTACTAACTAGATAAAAGTCACGTTCAGATTCAGATAAATCATATCCATCTGGATCTAAAGGGATTACTGAGAACTTGCTTGAACTTTGTATTTGCGTGCGGTTTGATTCTGTCTCTTAAGTCCAACATATTTGTTATAAGATCGAAATATAAAGACCATACGTGTCGTCGGTGTGGGATCTACGTCCTAACTGATTTAGATCTTGATTCGGACGGGGTACGTTGTAAAAGAAATTTATAATTTGCAAAAGTCGATTTTTAGGAACAAATGAAGTCGACTTGCCTTCGGGTGACGTCTCCGGGAAGTGCCCAGCGATTGCGTAGGCTTCAGAAACGCCATAATCCGTAATTTTCAAAACCCAACGACCATCAATTATGCAGTTGCGAGACTTTAGCCTTCCATGTACTTTTATTGGTGATTTGTGGATATATTGCATACCCTGAATTAAAGTGAATTATATGTCTTTATCGAAAAAGAGCACCTAGTCAAACGTTTTAAAACTAATGATGATTTTACTGATATTAAGGTTTGTTCTCTCAAATTCAACTATAATTACATGTCGAAAGAATGATCGAAGTGATATAAAATTTCTACAGGAATAAGCAGAACATTTGCGTTAATAAATCATAACAGAAATAGCCTTATGGATACCATCTTATTGCTATTACAACCAACATACTCTTTCCGAGCGGCTACTAGCGGTAAGAATAAGCCCATATTCGGAGCTCAATAATAAAGATGCTCACGTTTAAAGAACGGATTAGGCTTAACTTACCCTGATGAGGTCTTTGAGTAGCGACAATTTAAACTCCCAGTCTAGTTTAATTCGCTTGTTCTTGATTACATCCTAAAGTTAATCAGTAAAACGAACAAATTAGCAAACTTTTTCCGAAATTCTACAACATTCGAAAAACTTTGAAACGCTTGCATTTATTATCTCCGATATAAAGTCATCCGTCGTCAAAACCCTAAAAGAACTACAGCTTCGCCCAACTATTGGCTTAAAAAGAGCACAATTTTTCACATTTCATGTGAAATTTTCCAAAATAATTTTACATTTTAATGATAGAAGGGTTAAATATGGTAGGTGGCCTAACTCGTGTGAGCCAGTAGTCTAACACCAATTGGGTCCTGTTATTTTCTTTTTTGGAGCGGAATTCAAACTCAAAAGGCACTTTAATAAAGAAAATTGCATCTTCACTCTTGTTTACTGAAAAAATCAGGTAAGGTGTAGGCAAAATCGTAGGTTATCAGATATTCAAGAAATTGCCTATGCGATTTCATATCACAGACAAAAAACCTATTGTTTTTGTGCTATGGAAACACGTTAATAAAAGCAAGAAAGTTTTCAAAAAATTCCTTATGTAATCGGGAAATCTGATCCTCAATAAAGGAAAACCAATTTGAGGCAAGTGCAAGGAATCAAGGATGTCCATTTCTCTCGGCTATCAGTTTTATGTTTAGGTGAGTCCAAAAATACGATGCAAACGCCCAGTTGCACTAAAGCGCATGTCCAAAACGCACTATTAAGGTAAGACCTTTTTATGAAAATATTATTTTATGGGTTTTGATAAACGCATAGAACAAAATCGGCACCCATATACAGCCGACTGAAAATACTTAAAATCACATGAATTCACATATTTCAAGGACGATCTGAAACACATGGTAATCCTATGTCCGAAATACCTATAAAGACATTTGGAAAAACGAAAGTTCGATTAATGTACATAAAATGGCACGTTTAGAATTTTACTTGACAATGTTACTCAAAAGACGAAGAAGCAATAACTGGAAGAAGAGTTTTATTGTCCCGACGTTTCGGATTCCGTCGGGAATCCTCAGTCACTGGTAGTATATTAGTCCCTGATCAGCCTGTAAATTCGGAGCTTCTGAAATATTGTACTCCTCTGACATTCATATCGTCGCAAGCAAGAGAAAATTGTGTTTATATTAATTAAATGCATATCAAAGAAGGTAGAAACGGAAGAAAAAAACAATCAGTTCCTATGAAACCGTGCTGTGTATATACCCGGAATTTAGGCTGTATGTTAACCGTTTTAGTTGCCAGTGCACTCATCCGAGGGAATAATCTTGTGCTAAATTCACCAAAGAACTATCTTCAAACGTAATTCAACTTGGACTGCTTTATTTGGTCGTTTTTCGCCTTGATCTGCTATCTATACATTGGCAACATAGGTTTACTTATTAACATCGACTTTTCACGTGTTCTTTATGTTCTTTTTTCTGTAAATATGGATTTTTTAAACTAGTTTTTAATAGTTTATAAGCCGCAATATGCCACAGGTAGTTCCTTTACTGCTAATAGGCTTTATTGGGCACATCGTAGTCTGAGCTTGAAACAAGAAACTATCGGACAACCAGAAAGATTGACGCTTTACTCGGCAGTCGGCTCAGGTAATCAGGTTTCAGAAAAAGATTTGTAGTGTTAACTACAGAGGATATTTAAAAACAGTTGCTCCCTCCTCCGTTTTTCCATTGTACTCAAGGTAACTGCATAGAACGATCGTCATGGTATTGAATTTTTGATGATGGCATAAAACAAGAAGTTGATTATGACAGCAGCCATAGAAGAAACATCATGCAATAATCTCGTGTGCGGTAATCTCTGACCTGTCCTAGATACAAGTTTTAAAAAAAGCGTTAACCTGTTGTAGAGTCAATTAATGAACACATGCAGACTACTGTGAGACGAAGAGCATTCAGTCATCTCGTCGGACGAATGAGTCACCAGCATGCCCGCGTCTGGTCTCCCAGTCACAATCGATTTTTGCACATCAGCACTTATTATGCAATGTAATGATTCAGTGAGTGTCTTGAATTTGACATGCAGTTCAACTGAGTCACAAAGCTTTCGACTTCATGAGAGGCGAAAGCACTATTTCAAAGAGCCAGCCAAATATGGTATTTTAATCTCTGCAACATCATAATCTGTCTTACAAAATTTTACTGAGGAGGTTTATGCATTATGACCCCCCGTACTGACAGCCCTGAACGGTTTCTTCTTCTTTTTATTTAGTTCGAATTTTTAGGTAACAGTGATAGAAGTAATGCAAAAGACGAATGTGATATGCATCGAATGTCGGATTAGAAGAAATTGCCTGCAAGACGTCCGTACATATCGAAGTGAGCTTAAAAGTATTGTGAGATAAATGATGCAACAAGAAAAATATCTGTGTACCTGAGCTCACAAGAAATGGATAAGCTGTAATTTAATATAACTTCTTTCTGTGTCCATTCTACGTAAGCAAAGG